GAAGTATGTGCCGGTTTCTACTGAGGTCGTGTCGTTAAGTATTTGAAAGGGGAGACGTTGTCAAGCTGCTCTAGCGTTTCATCCAAAGTCTTACCAATGCTTTCAGGTGTCTAGCTTGTGCCTGAAGAGGCCCCACCATTCATTCACAGAACAGATGGCCACCGTGCACCTGGCCGCCAGGTAAGGCTCTCACAGCAGAGAAGCAGAGTCCCGCGCTCACGGAGCCCGTTAATTAATTATGTCCAAGAGTCAATGAAAACTGCCTTACTTTGCACGAAAGTGTGTTTACAGAAGACAATTCGACTGCTACAAAGCTAAGAATTTATACCGAATTAACTCACGTACCCTCTAACATTCTCATGACATTTCATCCTCTTCCAGATGTGGCATGGCGGGGCGGGGGAAAGCTTAGGGGCGGGGGTGAAGCAATCGGCCTTCGTTTTTAGGCTCCGCTGACGTATCTGAAAAGCTGCATCAGATTCAGCTTGTTTTCCCCTCCTTGCTCAGGAGATGAATTAGAGTCATTTGCAAATTCCTTAGTTGATGTGCCAAAAATAAATGCAAATCTGGCAGAAAGTATTTAAAAAGTGTAGAGAAACCGAGCCTGAAGCGTAAGCTCTTTTAACCCCCCCCCGCCATAAGCCCCGTTAACCCGGCTGCTCCTGGGCCGCTCGGGGACCACGTTCGCACGGCTGTGGCCGTGTTCACTCGATGTGAACTTTGTGTTTTCTCCCCACGGCCACCTCGACTGCCAGTGTCCAGAATTCCCCTCAGGCGCTTCCATCCTTCTAGGACACCCGTGGAATTAACTCGCTCGGCGAATATGTCACTGTGGGCTGGGGACACGTGGCCCGCCCAGGGACTCCTGCGACAAGGAGCACAGACGGGGCACGGGGCGAGTCTGGGGGGAAGCGACGACGCGCGGCACGCTGCAAGGTGAGGGGCGGGGCCCAAGGTGGTCCCTCCATCCCCCATCGTCTGCTCACGGCGTCATGGGGGTCCCCAGCACGCCACTCGCGTGCCAGGGGCCCTCTGCGTGGCGTCCACGAGACCGTCGCCCCTCGGCCCGTGTGCGCAGCCCCAGGGACCTTCCGCCCTCCCCGGCGGTCCCACGTGAGTCGCTTGGGGACGCAGCCCGGCTAGCCCCGGACCAGCACCCCGGGGGCGGGTCCGCTCGCCCATCTCGGGCGCGGGCTCCGGCGCCGCGTGCAGGCCCAGGGCCACACGGAGAGTCAGCTGTCGGGGCCCTGCTCCCCATCCCCCACCTTGAGCACACTGCAGCCAGGCGCCCCGCTCCCGCCACCGCCCGGGGGGCCGGCCCCACGGGAGCCTCCTCCACAGAGCTGAGCGGGGAGACTCCGGAGCGCTGCATGCAGTCAGTGAGGGGCTGCATCCACCAAACTGCCACCTGCTTGGCCAGGCTCAGCCCCCGCGATGCAATGTGGTGCAGAAGCCGGCAGGGGAGGGCCGCGCCCGCGCCACCGTCAGCAGGAGCTCACGCGGGCTGCTTCTGGACCAAGATGGGCCCGCGAACGAAAACGGGGGGCTCCGCCTAGTGCCCGCAGTTGGAACTGCCGCTCAGCCTCGCCCGAGCAGCACGCGCTCACCTGGGGGGCCGCTACCGCTGCCCCAGGCCCAGGCCCAGGCCCAGGCCACGCCACCGCAAGCATGGGCCCTGCCCCGCAAACTGTAGCAGCCTGACCCGTTCCAGGCCATGGATGGACGCGTTCTCGAAAAACGTCTAGGAGCTTCTCCGTGGGAGAGGCACGCTAAGCCTTCTGACCATGAACAGATGTTTAAAACGTAATACATACCCACCTCGAAAGGAAAAGCGCTAAGAGTTTTAACGTATCAAAAAAAAACCTCTGTAAAACCTATTTTGGATTAATAACCGTTTTCCTTTCCGATAAAGGCTCTGTGGACACTAGAACACTCGTCACCCCGAAACACGTGGAGCACTTCCCAGCGTGTCAACGCACCAGCCATTTACCACACGTGACCCCAAACAAGGGTCTGAGGTGCGTGGTTCCACTTATATGTGTATTTCGAGGGCCAACCGTCATCTTCGATCCACGGCTGGGAATCCACGAGTGCGCAGCTGACGGGACTTACGTGCAGACTTCCGATGCCGTGGGGTCGGCACCCCCAACCCCGTGTTGTTTAAGAGTCGGCTATGTATCGGCTGGAATGGAGTAAGGCCCAGAAAAATACACGTTTCGGCCCTTAATGACAACAGTTGTGATTACTCAAGATTACCTTTTAATACAGAAGACAAACCTGTAACATTTCTTAAAGCAACTCACAATTTTATTAATTTTCAGCACTTGCGTCCTTCTGTAGTTCTAGGAAAATCCGAACCACAGCGACCAGAAACGAGGGTCCTGCAGTTGACTTTCAACAGCCACGTATAGAGACCAGACGACACGGGCGTGACACTATAAAACTTACAGGACAGAAGGGCGGGCGGATCGCTTCATTTAGCTAAACGAGAAAACGCTTCCCGGTTTGACGGCTGGACCGCAGCTGAGGCTTTTCAGGGCAGGTCGCATCACGTCGAGATCTGAGCGATACTAAAGCCACAGGAATTAAACCGATTTTCCGTCGCTGAGGAGTTTGTCCCTCTAGTTTAATTAAGCTTAAACTCTTCACAGGAGAAAAATATATTTCAGGCCAAATAAAACAAACTCCGGGTAAGCATAGCTCAGCGTTTTTTATTTTACCTTCATCGAGGCAGGCAACGTACAGATGCTGTACATTAAGAGCGTGCAAACGCGTGACTCGCGGCCCCCCGACCCCCACAGGCAGCAGGCCTTCCCAGCGCGGCTCCCCCGTGAAGTTCACGGCCGCCGCTAAATGTACAAAGAGCCATCCGCCGGCCCCACGTAGCCGACGCCGATGAGCAAGACGTCGATCAGCGTCCATATCCCCAGGCCGCCGAAGCTGAAGAGCTTGCCGAGGCCTTCTCGCCACTGGCCCAGGTAGAAGCGGTCTGCCCCAAAGCCACCGAGGGTGATGCTGCAACAGGAAACAGGGCTGGGATCCACCGGGTGGCCCTGCGACACGGCTCGGCCACATCCGAGCAAGGGCGCAAATTACCCTGACCCCCCGTCAGAGCGCGACTAGTTCACATTTTACACCGCCGAGTGCGCACCTCCCGCCTGGCTGGGACTCCGCGAACGGAGGGCTGACCCTAGCCCCAGGGGGACCGTGGGCCATGCAGGGTCCGCACCCCACCCCACCCCACCGCACCGCACCGCTGCTCACAGGGCGACTGCCATCATGGCCACGAGCCGTCAGCATGTCCAGGAGACGCGTGACCTTTAGCTGGACTGAAATCTACTATTTCTCTTTTAAAGGAATCGATCTCGGTGCATGTTAATCTCCAGAGCAAAGCAGGAGCCCGGATGAACAGAAGGTGCGCGAACGTGGGGGAGGGGCGGCCCCGGGAGGCCGGGATCAAGTCCTCTCGCCTCTCTAACGTCAGTCAGTGTTGGGAATGAGTGACTTTTAAGGTTCCTTCAAATGCTAAGCCCTACGCTATGTGACAACTTGTCACCGGATTTCTTCTAAAGTTTTTACTCAGAACGTATCAAAGTAAAAAGAAAGGAAACCACGATCCAGCCCCAACGACCGTGAGCATGTGGCCGATCCGGCTGACGCGTGCCGAACCCACCGCCCTGCTCCGAGGCGCCGTCACATCCACGGTGACGACAGGGAAACCACCCTCGCGTTTGAAAGTCACTCGTCACGAGTACCGTGGTCATTTAAGGCACCAGCGATGTGGGGGAAGCTGGCTGAGGGATGAGCAGGAACGCTCGAACTTTACAACTTTTCTGTAAATCTAAAATCCTTCCAAAATAATTTTTTTTTTAAAAGTTTTCACTGAAATCGTTGCTGACAGTGACTGTGGCCAGTTACCTGATCTCACGTGTGCTGCACCGAACTTCGCACCATGGGCCCCTGTCCACTTCCGGTGACACCTGCCGGGCGGGCTCCTCCTCCTCCCCGAGCCCCAGCCCTGACGCAATGGAGCTCGACCAGGGACAAGGTGGCAACGCCCGGAACGTTCTGTCACGACTTGGGGGGAGGGGGAGAGCCACTGACATCTAGCAAGTAGAGTCCACAGAGGCTGCTATGCAGCCTCCTATGCACAGGACACCCAACAAGGGACGACGTGGCCCCGATGTCGACAGTGACGAGGCTGAGACACCCTGCCCCGGGCCCCGCCGCAGGGCTCAGGGTTCGGGCTCTGACTGGGAACCTCGACCGCAGATGGCGCAGCTTGGTACCGAGCGGATCGTTTCACCAGGGTCCCCCGCCCTTCCCTCTGGTGGCAAGAACTGGCAACATTTTTTTTTTGCAAGCTTTTCATGGAAAAATGGGAAGTCCACATTTCTAGATGGGGGAACAGGTGACTCCTATTCTGGATAGGTGATTTTTAATGTATTTTTTGGTCATTTTCACTTTTTCCAATTTTCAGTACTAAGCACGTATTCTTTTTATGATAAAGAAGTTACCTGCCCACTCGAAACAGTGCAGCACATGCCAACAGCTTGTGCACATGCGGACTGGCTCTGCCGGCCTGTCGGCATGGCCCCCCATCTGCCACGGGCCGGCATCCGGGGAGAGGAGCTATCGCCTGCCACTGAGCTCCCGGAGGTGCCACTGTGACCCCCGGGGAACCCGGGGGCAGGGGGGACAGGGGCTGTGTGTCTGCGGGCATCCACCCCCCACGAGGCCCGGACGGCGCCTCGACCGCCCAGCGACGCGGCTTACCTGAGGGCCAGGGCGGTGGACCACTTATAACCGCCCGTCCAGTTGCAGTACAGCATTTTCGGGAACGTGCGGTTACCTTGAAGAAGGGGAAACGCTCTGCTTAGAAACGTGGGTATAAACACTCTTACGGAGAGACCGAACTGTACCCGGTGGCCTCGTCCTTTAAGATCTCAAAAGTCAGCTCTCCTAACGACGTTTGCCTGAGCGAATGGTAAAAAGACAGACCTCGCGGCCCAGGAGCACAGGCCTCACGCTGAAGTCAGTTAAGTAAGGGCTTCGGCCCCCAACGAGAGATGCCCCATCGGCTATGAGGACTCAGGCGAAGCGAGGAGCGAGCCAGACCGGGCCCTGGGAAGCGAGCCCAGAGCACACACGCACGCATGAACACGTCCGTGCGGCACGGGCACACGCAGACCGGCCTGCGACAGTCCCGAGGCCACCGGCTGTCCACGTGGGAGCAAAAGCGAGCCTGATCTACCTGGCAGCACACCCCGAAACCCACTGCAAGTGGGCGACAGACCTAATGCCAAAGGCCAAACTTACCACCTTTAAAAGACTAATAACGTCAACTAATTCAAATTTAAAGTTCTGTTCGTCGAAAGACACCAAAACAAAATGAAAAAAAAGAAAAGAGTAAATAAGGGTAAAAACCTGAGAGAATTTTAGGGACACCAAAAAGTTAAAGTGTCCAAAATACAAAAGAATCCCCAGGACTCTAAGAAAAAGACAAAACACAGGGACAGCAAGTATCAGAGGCCGCAGGGCATCGAGAACAGGGACGTCCGCTGCTGAAGAGCAAACGCCTGGACCGCTTTGGAAAATACTACATGCTGGAGGGTGCACGCCGCACAGACCCCTGCACGTGTGCAACCAGGAGGTGTGCACAAAAATCTGTAACGGCAGCACCATCTGTAAGAGCAAAAACAGAAATAACCCAAATACGTAGGAAAACAAATAAATGGCGACGCAATCTTACAATAGATTATTATTCAGAAGTAAAAGGAAAAAGATAACTCAGAGCCACCAAGTTGAGTGGGGGATAAAAAGACCATAAACAAGCTGTTCGTTTTATACAATTCTAAAACACACGTGACCGAGCACCACGCCGTACCACATCTTATCACACAAACGTGAGAGAACTAAACGGTTTGGAGAAAAGCAAGCAGGACAAGAACACTCGCGAGGGTGATGCCCTCTGAGGGAGGGAGGACAGCCGGGCACACGAGCACCGGGCAGCTGTGACCGTATCGTCACCGCTGTAGCTGTTCACTCGGTGAAACTCAACTACTGCGCATTGTACTTTAGACCCCACGTGGCTTTTTCGTTGGATCGAATACTATATTTTTAAAAGAGCATCGCCCGTTTTCTGGATGTTTCGTTCTGAGTTTGTTAATGAGGTTTGGCATAACTGAGAAGTGCTGATAAATGCTTCTGATGAAATCATTTAACCCTCGAATTTCTGATTAAAGCTCCACAAGCACGCCGAGAGAAAAGTGTCTTGCTCACAAACATCCTCGCGCTCCGACTCACCCAGGCAGTGAACGTGGTCCCGCACCGTGCAGTTGGCGGCGTGTCGCTGCCGGGGGCAGGACACCGTCATGCAGCTGGTGGAGGCGGAGCACTCGTAATCGGCTTCCGGAAGCTGCCAGCAAAACCTGCATGTCATGTTGATGACGAAGTTCCTCTGGGACTTGAAGTCTTGATCCTATGTGCCAAAGGACGCAGAACTCATCAATCGTAACGTAGGAGCTTGTTAATATGTCACTGAACTACACAAACGGCACAAAGTTTCTAAGTATGACCTGGCAGGAAGCGGCGTGAAGACGGTCACCCGCGCAATATGGATGCAAAAGAAATATGCGTGGTATGACCCTATAATCACAAAAATATACACCCGCAAATATTTACCTACAGAAGAATAAAACTGGATCAATTCACATCAGAATAACTAAGGATATTTCGCACGGTGAGATTACGTCATCACTTTTACCTGGCTAAATTTTTAATAATGAGCATGTGTACTTCTGTAGAGAAAAAAGGAGATTTTATTTTATAATGCTAGAGTCACCGACTCTAGGGAGGGACAGACGAGGACGTGTGTTCAAGGTCAGTGAGCTGCAGGTAATGAGCGGAGTCCAGGTCCCCCGAGCCCAGCCCGACGCTCCTGGAAGTACAGCGCACGCCCGGTTCGCAGTCCCCCACGCCGCTCCGGGGCCCGGGCGCTGTCGAAGCTGCTCCCACCTGCACGAGCACCTGGCAGGAGCCACAAACAGGCAGCCCAGGGAATCTCTCTCCTCAGAACCACATGTAGACCAGCAAGTGTTCACTGCTGGCCATCAGCTTTCGAGACCAAACTCTGAGTCATTATTTTGTTTCCTGCTTATAAAAAGGAGCATGTGTCCTTTGTGAGTTATACATTCGGAAATCCCAGGAAATAACCTGTAAAGTCTCCAGAGATCCGCTTTAAACCTTTAATTTTTTTTTCTATAATATAGATTTATAAAAGTACGATACACTGAAAACATTTTGCATCCTTTTTACCTCTACACGACATCATGTTCTAATACGTATTTTTCAAAACCAGTTTTAAATGGTCGCACGATCACCTCTGAAGTGTCGTATTTATTGATTTTTTTCATCAATGCAGAACTGCTTTTATGGACAGCAGTCAAAACTGGGACACGCACCAGCTGATTTGCAACCCTGTGTGAAATGTCTGCACACTTCTCAGGACGCATTTATAGCCACGTTTCTCATCAGCTCTCGAATTTCTCGAATTTGTTTTACCGTACAAACTCCCAGACGGGCCAGGGGAGTGAAGACGACACTGGCCCCCACAGCACCGAGCGCCGCTCGCCCGATGGCCTTCGGGGAGTCTACTCCGTGCCTGGGTACATTTTTTATTTAATTTAACGTTTCCACTAATACACCTTTCACTTAATCCTGCAGGTATCAGTAAATACCTCTAGAGCTGCCTAGTTATTTTTAACGGCTGGAACGTATTTTGTCACAGAGCAAACCACAAATTACAGACATCTCTCTTGGAGATTTAGCGTACTTCAAATCTTCTGCCTGGGTGAAGGATACAGCTAAAAACATCCTTAGGAATGTTATTTGCATCCATGTACGATATCTATATGATAAACTGCCATATACGCAATTGCTGGGTCAAAGGTCATATGCTCTATAGTTTCAGAGAGATGACGAATTGCCTATAAGAGGGTGTCCAATGTGCCCACCCACTATCGAGACACAGTGGATGTCACTGACGCCCTCGCAAACTCGGTGTATTAACTAAACCCTTACATTCTTTTGCCAGCCTAAATACACATCGATCAATGTGTATTTAATTACGAGGAAAATGCAGCATTTTTCTCACGTGTTGAAAGTCCACCTGTAGTTCCCGTCTGTGGACCATGTGCTCCGGTCCTGACGTCATTTCTCTATGGGACTGTCACCTCTTATTCATCTTTTACTTTTAGGAAATCTTTAGAGATTGTGGTATTAATGCATTATTTGTAACGTGCATTAGAAATACGTTCTTCTAGTTTGTTGTTTACCTTTTGCCTTTCTCCTTTTTCGGTCGTGCAGCAATTTCTAATGTTCAGTAGTCAATGCCTCAACACTTTCTTTTACGGCTTTTCGATTTTATTTTATATTTAGGAAAATGTTCCCTTCTTTGAGATCATAACAGAACTGTCTCACGCTGTCTCTGGCACTTTGTGGCTTCTTCACATCGACTCTTTGACCCACGTGTAATCTATTCTGAACAAGCCCTGGATTCCGCTGTCCCTCCAAGACAGCGGCCCAGTCCCATCATGCACTGGGCCATCTCCTCATCACGGAGAAGCGCAGATGCCCTCAGAGCTCATCTCTGATGAAGGATCTGCCCCCCTGCCCTCTGGGAGGCAGCTGTCATCACTACGGACGCATCCCCCACCAGAAGGCTGGCACCGTACCTGCTACGGACACAGCAGGAGACATCGGTCTTCTCCCGGGGACGCAAAGCGACGGTTCTGTCAAGCGCGTGTCCCGCCGACATCGACGGGCTTGACAGCTGCCATTACAGCTGGGACAGGAACCATCTGATGTCGAAGAGGCTACAGGATTTTTACACTTATCTCTACTTCCGTACTTCACAGGACCTCACGAAGTCAGTCGTTGACTCGTGTGACCCAGGCGAGAGTCCCCCGGCCTGCGAGGCCCTCCCTGGTCGGCACGCGTGAACGAGGACTGGAGGGGTTTCTCCCCTCCCACGATTTGAAGTTCGCAAGGAGAGGGGGGAGAGCCTGAGCGCACGCGCGCGCGACAAAAAACACCTGCACGTGTGCACGTGACGGCCATGGCCTTGTCCTTCCTGAAATGCGAACGAGTTCACCAAGCAGGGACGCTACAGGTCATCATTTCACAAACGAGAATACCTGGCTGCCCCGGGTCGCCTGGCGACAGGGGTCGTAGGGCCCGTGGCTGCTGACGGTCGATTCGCAAATGTCCTCGTTCCCATTTTCGAGAGGGAACAGGCCGCCGGGCTCTGATTTCCACTGCGCACCTGAGCACGGCGCCTGCTTTGTCACGGGACTCCCTACCGCCGGCCGGTACCGGGAGCGCGTGAGATCGGGGGCCTGCAGCAGGAGAGACTGCGCCCCGGGGCGCCCCGCGGCCAGCGGCAGAGCCGCGCCAGGGACCGCGACCAAGGAGTTCGGGAACTTCCTCAGGCTCAGTTTCTCTACCTGTTTCTTGCCTCACCCTCTGCCGTTTTCCTTGGAGCGAAGCAGCTGGTTTGGGGAGCACCGGAGGAGGAGGACTGGAGAACTCTGTTCTCAGTAACCGTCAGGGGAGACACATGTCGAAGAGGCCGAAGCACCCAGCAGCGGGGCTAATTCTGAGAGGGTCCCCCGGAGAGCCAAGTGTTCTCATGTTCACTAAGCACCTATGAGGTGCCAGACCCAGGTGTGTAACTCTCAAAGCTTTCGAACAGGTTTAGTCACTAGGTGGGGAGGGAAGAAATTCTATTTAAGACACGGCAACGAAGAACGACCGATAATCCACGGGCGGCCGTGAGGACGACCTGGCAATCAGCCCGATTTCCCAGTGCACTTTAAAGGGTAAGGCCGGTGTCTAAAAATGGCAGATCCTTCAGCTTCCAGAAACCACGTTCAGATATTGAGACGACATAACCCCTTCCCCTCTGGAGGGAAGCCTTCCTCATGCCTCTCCTAATCTGAGAATGACGGAACGGTGGCCGTGGGGGACACTCCGCTCCATCCCTTCGCAGACCCAGCTCCAGAGAACGAAGTGGAGGAAAAAGCGCCTTCGAGTAAGTGCAGGAAATGCCAGAGCCGCTGGTCAAAGGACATCTGTGGGGGACACCGTGGACATCTACACGGGGGGACACCGCATAGAATGTTTTTCCTTCCTCAACCATTTCCCAGAACAAGGGTTCCACAGAAACACTTCAGGAAGAGCTGTCCTGGGACCATCCCCCCGTTAACGAGATGGACTGACAGGTCACCCAGCCGGTCGTGGCCGGGCTTCATCATTCACTTCTCATCTCGCCCAGATGCTGGGAGGACATTCCTAAGTGAAGACTGCGACAATGACCCAGTCCACCTGTTAAACAACACGGACACCTGAGTGTCCCTGACCTATGCTCGTTCGGCAGGTCTGCCCAGAGCACTAGGAAACGCACCTACGGAAACCTTCTAGGCTCTTCCCAGCTCTCAGACATCACAGTAAGATGTCGCTATGACGACTAGAACAGGGTCACTTCTAACGGGGAACGGTCGGTACGCCTGAGCTTTTTCTAGTTCTGACTTTCTATAAAAAGTCTGACAATCGCTGCGTTTTATCCTGTGTCAAAAAACTGCCATCTGAACCCTTGCAATGAAACCTCACTTGGAAATGGAAGCTTCGATCTTCTGATAAACTTGACTTTATTCTTAAAACACAACAACCTATAAAATACAAAGTACGTTCTTCCAGAATTTCCCCATGGTCAAGTCTAAACTCTACGTATAACTCAAGGCTCGCGGTGAGTTTGTTTAGAATAAGTAAGTTGCAGTACTTACGACGCAGGTAACAGAAGGTTTGACGGTGCAGTCAAAAGTCACAGGCTTCCCGTAGACACAGGAGGCGTTTGTCCTGCAGTCCACGCAGTCCGCGGGGAGTCTGCTGCACAGGCCGTTGCTCGGGCACTTCGTCACGTCGGGGAGGCTGTTGGTACTTTCTGTGAGAGGCGAGAGCGCAGCTTATTCTCATCACGCCGATAGGAAAACGCTTTTCTAAGATTAAAGGACGTGACCGTTGGCAGGGAGGGGCTAGGCGGGGAGGAGAAGGCACAGCGGGGGTCCGCGATACCTGCGGTCGAGCAGGGTTCTGCCACCGGCCAGCTGCGTGACGGGGAAGAGCTCAAGAGCGAAGTAAAAAGTATTTCGTTACTGCCCCCGATGACCATAAAAATCAAAAGTGCGTATGTATATAAATCGGGAGATGTAAGTTAGGGCCTCAAAAAGTCTAAGATTTAGAGATGGGGGGGTTTGCTCAAGATCACAGAGGGAGAGGCAGAACCGGAGACGGAACCGGGCCTCTCGGCTTCCCATCCAATGTTATTTTCCCTTGAACACTAACTCGGAAGAGGAGCCGGTGACGACGGGGTGCACCGCAACCCTAGAAAATGCTCTGTCATTATTCCGTACTGCTGCTTCGGGAAGCCATCATTTGCTAAGAACATTTAGTTTTCTACCACCGATGTTCAAAATAGTTCTCCGTATTAGTTAACTCGTTCAGTGGGTCGTAGATTTATTTCCAGCCAACCGAGCCAGGAGTACGATATATTTCTATCACTTAAGAAAAGGCCAGAGTGACTCTCAAAAACGTAATGTTTTAAATTCAAGTTTACTGCTGACTTCTAGTCTTTTACATCCAAATTAGAATCAGGAAAGTACCTCGGCCGGTTTCAAGTCATTGAAATAAGGGAACTCTAAAGAAATGAAATTATAGAGAAACCGGTTCCACTTAGCAAAACATGCTAATACTCACCCGAAACTGGCCCTACTGAAAAAGTTCTTACAGCAGATGAGCGATTCTACAAAATATCATTTGTCCCTATCACTACTGGGGCTGGAGAACAGACGTGCAGAATGACAACGCCAAGGTGACTCCAAGGGCCAGGCTAACCCCACCTTAACGATGAGAAAACAAAGCCCAAGCGGGTGAATGATTTGCTCAAGCTCCCAGTAGCACGAGCAGACCCGGACCCGGACCGGGACCCGGACCGGGACCGGACCCGGACCCAGCCGCCAAGTCTCCATGGATTCCTGTGGCCCTTCCTCTTCACGCGGCCCTGGGGGGGCCCTTAATGCCCAATATGAGGCACAGGGCTCAAGAAGCAGAAGAAATTTTCTGAAGGGAAGCAGCACTGGCTGAGGGTTACGTCGATGATGCGAAAAAATGAACATAAAGAGATGGAAATGAGCGTGGGACTGTCCAAAGGTATTTGAAATATCGAGACTGGCGATAAAAAATGTCTATATCTGTCCTTAGTGCGTGTAATCTCAAATACACTAAATAAAATAGTCGAAAGTGGAAATTATACCCAAAAGAGAGAGCGCGCGCCCCGCGGACAGAGCGCACGCATTTACTGCGACGGGAGGCGTCCAGCAGCCGCCGCCCTGGGGACAGCGGCGAAGGGACGCGCAGGGCCCGATCCCTTCCACACCGAGCCGGCGGCTGCGCGCGTTCGGAATTTAAGGATCCTACAGTCAGAGAAGCACGTTATCCGGGGACATAACGGCTCGGTGTCCGGTTAACAGGCGGGGTCCACGCCCCGCAACGATCGCCGTGCAAACCGCGGAGAAAACTGAGGAACGAGGCGCCACCAGGGCAACGAGAGAACAAAACGTGGTGTGAGGACCATGCCCGCTGCCCCGGCCGCGTCCCCGAGACCTCGGT